AAGGACCTGTCTATGCAAAAGCTGTGTATCTCATGATGCGTGGTATCCACTCTAAGTTGATACTTTTTTTAAAAAAATTAATATCTGAGTCCCACTATTTTATTTGAAATTGTGTATTTTAGTCACTTAAATCGAAAAGGTGAAAAAATTATTAATTTTTTTTTGCTTGGTTCAGTTTATTGCACCCCACGTCGAACCTATCAACTTCACTGATAGAAACATATTTCTAGTTAAGCTCATATATAGCAGCTATGATCGAGCTCTCTATTAGTTTGTACTGTCTTATTGAAATATTGTCTCCCTATAACCTTTTTTCTTCGATCTGGTTGAGGTTCTTTTAGGATTTTCAATAATTGAACCATTAATAAAGCCAGAGGTCACATGGGACGTTATCTCAGCACGATATTATTAGATCATTTTTATCAACAACCGCGAATGGAACTTGCAGGACAAAATGAAAGATATATAAAACTTCCAAAATACTTTAAAAAACTTATAGTGTGTGTATGTTTTTATGCTTCTTTCCTATCCTCTTCTTTTGTTCTCTCTTTTTTAGTCTTTTTTTTTTTTTTAATTCTTTTGCTTCTCATGAATCTGCAGAACTGACGAGTGTAAATATGAATATATGAATATAAATGAGTCTGTGGGTGTCACATTGGATTCCTTTAGGTACACATTTAAATAATAAGCTGGGTCTTCTTCTTCCTTTAAATTTCCTATGCCATATGCCTTTCGGCTTGAAAGGCCAGCCAACCTATAGTTTTATATATAATTAACACACATCTGATGCTCATCATCAGTCTCATAATTAATCAAACTTTGTTCCTTCTTCCAAAGTTTTTCTTAGCATGATTAGGGAAACCCTACATTCTTGGATTTGCTGTTACTTATTCTTCTTTTTCTTCCGATTAAGGCTTCTTGCAAGTTCATTAGGGTCCCTAAACTTTAGTTGGTTAATTGTATTGGGACCCCAGCTATGAGATCCATCACAAGAGAAAAAGAATATTGGAAAAGAGTAAAACAAGCATTTAAAGTAGTTTTAGTATATCTCTAGCATTCATTTAATTTATATCCATGATCATCACTTCTTTAAAATTTATTGTGCTTAACAAGCCTTATAATTTTTTCACTAGAAATTACAAATATTTTTTCTCATATAAATTTGAATGAAAAGAATTAAAAAAAATTCTCATCGCAAATTGTGAACTTTTCACACTAATTACTTTACATTAATATTGCGAGCACAGCATTGGGGCAATGACATAATTGAGCTTTTCGATAATGAGACATAAGCAAATTCATAGCTCGTTTATGAGAAACTCTTCATCAGATGTGAGACTTGAAGAAATACGATTTCTCCTTTCAAAGTTCTAAACTAAACAAGTCTTGTTTCATATATGAATGAATATGTAATCTTTTTTTTTCCCCCCTCCAATGTGAGATTTGTCGAAGTTAATTAAAACTCCCAACTTATTGACACTAATCATGACTGACCCAAGTCTATTTCTTGATTTACCCTTGAAAATATAAACCTCTCTTCTTCCATTTTTTTCCTGCCAGAAAAATATATAAACCTCTTCAGTGTTTCAACGATAAGGCAAATATGTTTGAACATTATATATATCGAAAGAAGGAGAATGATTTGGCCATGATTCCAATTGCAATATGAATGCAGATAATGTGAGAAAAGAGCAATCTAAAGGAAGATGCCGCTTTCACAGCTTAAAGCTGTCTGTAATATACCTAATGTTAGTTGGAGGCGTGAACTTAACATTGTTCTATATATCTATATATATATATATATATATATTATTCAATGCACATATTCCATTTCCAGCATAACATACTTTGAAAGCAACATATGCTCATCCTCCAATTCTAATACACATCTTATCTGAAAACTTTCAACTTCTTTACAGATTTCTTGGATAATTGTGTGTGTGGAGTAAGAGATTGTGTGTGTGTGTGTGTGTGTGTGTGTGTGTGAGAGAGAGAGAGAGAGAGAGAGAGAGAGTAAATTGTACTTTCTCATTTATGCATGTTTTGTTCTGCCAATTTCTTTGAAATTCAAAGTTGCGTGTTTAAAGAGATAGAATTATTTACTAACGAGAATTAGGTCCAAGAGGGAAGGAGTAAGTTTTTTATAATATGACAAACTAAAATTTAAATCCTCACGAGTTAGAAGAAATGCTCATATTTAGCATCCAAATTATGTCCCAAACAAAATCCTGAAAAAGATTATTTTCAACAAGCACATATTTGTGCGCAGTAAAGAAGAAGAAGACGACACAGCCATTTGATATGGGCCAAACTCCCCAGTGTTCCCCTTACCCAAAAATGATGGGTCGCCCAAAAAAGAAACTAACGGAGCTCAATACAAGGCAATATGCGTTTTCCCTTTTACATTATCATGCTACCTTTGAACTACCAAAATAACAATAATAATACCTACACGTGGCAATCTTATGATCTTCGTGTAAGGAATTTTTGGCTTTAATTAATTATTATATGGTTGAAGTAAATTACGCCTGATGACATCCACTTAATGGACTTTTATTGCTTGTTATATAAGAATGGGCATCAGATAAGTCTTTACACATTAAAATGATTAGAGGGAGCAACCTATGGAGTACAAACTAAACTTGCAGAAGAAATTTCAATTTATTTTTTTCGATATTTCATTATGTTTTGTTTTATAAAATTAAAGAAGAGGCCAAAAAAAAAACACTTTATTCATTAATGACAATCATAATGATAACCTAAATTATTCTTTCACCGTTCACCGCCATTTTAGATATAATTTTCAAAATAATGAATTAAATATTTTTTATTTTTGAAAATTATTCTAAAAAATTACCTTACATAATTATTATAAGAATGTAAAATATAATAATAATTATTGCAGTGAATTTTTTTCCTTTCTGGTCCCAGACTGCCTTCATCATACACTCGATGTGGTCCATTTAACATGGGCTCACAAATCGGCCCAATGTATAATGTGCACTAATTATTACTCGTTTTGAATTAGGGACTACGCTCCCTTGTTTGGATATAAAAAAAATTACTTCATTAATCCTTATATTTTGCATATAATTTTTAATCAGGCTCGTGTGATTTTTCTTTTTATATGAGGTTTGGATATTAATTTTCTCCAAAAAAAACCTGCATGATTGATTGTTTATAATTTAAAAAAGATTTGTTATAAATTGTATTTTGACATTCATAATTATGCTTGCTTCGCTCATTTGTGAGTTTTCCCAGGCCTTTTTCAACAGAAAATGAAAATCTCACTTCAACGTACCCTATTAAACCTTAGTTAGAATCAAACGAGTCAATTAGTTTTTCAGATTAGTTGAGAGTTTTAAAGAGGTCGACTATGTTAAATTTTTTCCCCTCCCATTGCTGAGTTTAAATAGAAACAATGTTGTTTTAAGTTTAAAAAGCAAAAAACAATAGTCCATTAAATTTATGACTTGTAATTGTCTTTTGTTGAATAACGACATTATGTGTAGTTTATGGAGCACATAAATATTCTATTTACTTATAAATTAATATTTTTTATTTAGATATGATTCTCGTAGTCTTTTATTATTTTAGTACTACCTCCAATTCTAAATATAAGAGCTAGTTGACTAATTTGAATAGATTAAGAAAATCACTTAAGTTAGTTATTTATAATAAATAGATGTTGTCTTTCCTAAAATATTCTTACTAACCAAGTTTATGGGTTAGAAATATTATTATTAGAATGACTATTTTAAAAAAATGAATAAATATGAGAGATAAAATTAATTGAAATCTTATATTTAAAACCAAAATAAAAGTCAAATGAGGTTTTATATTAAGCATAAGAGGTGGTATTATATATGAATGTTTTATTTATTTTTGTTGATTTTAATTCAATACGATCATGTTATTATTATTACTATTATAATAGTAATGATAATAATAATTGAATAACTGATTCGCCTTGTTCAATGATGAGTTGCAGGAGCAGGAGTAGGACAGGAACCTTGAGGAGAGAGCCAACAAGTTTTCGAGTTGGTGCAAGAGATGTTACAATGCAGGGGCCTGCACAAGTTCGATGGCTTCTGTTAGTTTCTGACTAAATGGCCGCCAGAATTGTGTCTCCATGTTTTTATTGGGCTCATTGAAGCCTCCCTCGAGGCCCTGTCAGGAATCTCCATCCTCTCGATTCTCTCATCTACCGCTTTCCTCTTCAGCTACCCTCCTTAGTCTCGCTGCCACCTTCTCTTTTATTCACCAGACAAATCCTTTGTTCTCAAGAAGCAGTGATCACGATTCAAGATAATTGATTGTCCACTTACTTGCACCAGCTTAAGCTGTCGTCCAACAAGTTCACCAAACCAACCAAAGATAAAACATAAAAATGTCGTCTGTAAGTTCGAGGAATTTTACGTTTTTCTTTTTTGTAAGGGAAAATAATGTCATATTCGTGTATAACCGCGTTGGGAAGTCAAGCGATTCCTTGCTTTAATAGTCTGCTCTGCGGAAGTGCAAGGACGAGATTGACTCTTTGGCCAGCAAACAAAAGGACTGTATTGACTCCAATGCTTTTGTTTGAGGGGTGTCGCTGGAATTACGTCAATGGCAAATAAGGCTGCAGGTGGGAATTCAACAGTGCTCATGAAAAAAGCAATGAAAATGGACAAAGGATTTTCTGCTTTTCATAATATGCCTGTCGGTCCCTGCGGCGAAAGAACTAGCTTTTTAGGTAACCTCAATCATAAGACTCCCCTCCAAATTCTTTCTCATTAATCCACCTATCCCTTTTCTTCTCCCTTTCTATTTCCTATTATGTCGTTTGGGAGCCCATAATACAAGCTAGTACGACTACTTAGGCTGTAAAACCATCAATTTTTTTTTGTCTTTTTGTTTTTTTAATCTGAAAACAACAGTGTGATTCTCTAATACTCCCAATTTCCGAGGACAAACTCTACCTTTAAAATGAGAATGGGGAAAATTTTAGCTGTTCTTTTTATCCCGTCAAAGATCAGAATGCTTAAGCCGCTAACCCCAATGATGTTTCTTGTACAAGATCTTTCTTGATCTCTCTCTCTCATTGCAGCCTTGCTGGGGACAGAGTGACTCAGAAGAGAGAGGTCACCTACCACACGAGAGTAGCGTGTAGCTTAACGCCTTAAACAAATGCACATCACTCCTGCCCCACTGGAACTAGAGGAAAAATCTCCGACCTTCTCCTCAACCTTGGTGGGTATCACTGATCACTGACTGGCGAAGCCGTTTCATGAAGATTCTCACCCTGTGTTGTAAAAATGGTGGTCACAGAGAAGTCTCATGTTGTTGATATAGACAATGGTCGTCGGCGTAGCAGCTCTGTCGGTGGCGGTGGCGATGGAGGGCATCCAGACACAGCCGACAGCGTAGATAAGGAGCTAAAATCCTCCCATGAGGCATCTGGTGCCGAGATTGTGGGAGTGTTAGAAAAAGAGAAGGGATCCCCCGCATCGGAGTGTTCGGTGGAGGTAGATTTGGGGAATGTGGTGACTGAAACTAAGGCACATTTGGGTGAGGTGAAGAGGGATTGTAGGATTTGCCATCTTAGTATGGATATGACCGATCATGAATCTGGGAGCATTGAGCTCGGATGTTCTTGCAAGGACGATTTGGTTGCTGCTCACAAGCAATGTGCTGAGGCTTGGTTCAAGATCAAGGGAAACAAGTAAGTATCTCGTGAAACAGTCTTATGTTGTTGATGAAATCTGGTGTGCCCTGCTGACCTATGCTCATTGTGCTGGTGATTTGTGAGAATGCTTTTGGCTCTCTGATTCTTAGATTGTTATTGTTAGTTAAATCTGGATCATTTGGATTTAGAATTGATTAATTTCTGCTTACCCTTTGACGTTTCCAAAACGGGGTAAAGGACTGTGCTTATTGCGAATTAACTTGAATTTGGAAAAATCACTGAGAGTGAGTGAAAAATGGATTCAGCTACATTACTGGAAAAGTGACCAAGGTCACCTGAAATGTTTAATTACCTGGAAAAAAGGGATGAAGTGGCTAAATTTAACTTATGTGCGGGTCCTAGTATTCATAACATGGCTGTACCTAACAAATTGCTGTTCGACTGTTATGCAGGTTGACTTTTAATATTTGAGTCAACCTTCATGGTGATTGCTGTAATGTCCAAGTCTGTGCATTGGCCTAATCGACTAAGTCCTTTCTGTGTTCCTTTAAGTCAAATTATGGATTGGTGCACAATATACCATACCTTATGCAATTTTGTGATATAACCGCATTCTATGAAGTTCTATGTTCACCTGTCGCTCCATTGTGACGGGCACGGGCTCAAGATCCAACTATTTGGGCGTGAATTTTGGGTGAGCCACTGAAACAGAGAAAGTCATAGGGATATCATATATAGTTCTCTAGTCTCGTGAAAAAACTTGAATTTATAGCCATGGTCTAGGAGCTCAATTTACTATAGGAATCCTGACTGCACACAATATCTTGAATTGATTTCCCGCTGGAAGGTTGGAGGCTTGTTAATATCCGTGGTTGGTTGCGGAAATAATTCAGTCATAAATATGTTTATTTCTATGGGTAGCTTTCGTGTGAAGGAGGCAATGCAGAAAATTGTCCTATAATGCCAAATCATACTGATTCCAATTGTGCTTTGATATATCCTTTGACTACTGTTGCCACTTCATTTATTAATGTTTTGGCAAGTCTAAAGTTTGGATTTAACGTTATATTTGTCCAGAAGTTTTCTATATTCGTGATTTGCCTTTTAAATCCATCCCTTTTTTTTTTTTTTTGGTTGCTAGAAAACTAGAAATTCAAGGTCAAGATGCTACTGACCATAAATCTCATTCTTTTCAAGAAAAGCATAAGGCTTGTTGAGGAACTGGAAATTGTCGGAGGAATGCATTTCAGAACTAGTTTGTGATGCCTAATCCTTCCCCTGAAAGCTTTAATGGCAAAGCTGATGTCTTGCACCAGTTGTTTGCTAGTCTAACAATATTTTGCTGGTACAAGTATCATGCACAAGCTGGATTTTGATAAAAATTTATGTTCTTGTGAAGCAAAGCTTTTGAAATTCTTTGAGAAGTTTTTGGATTGCATAAGCAGATTTGAGGACAGAATCTCATATTCACGTTATATGTGTAGTAATTTCTTAGATTACATACTGTAAATTAATTCATGTGAATTTGGGATGCAAAACATCTTCTTGGAAACTGGTTTTTCAGATGAAACTACTGCAAAACTTCTGTCCTGAAGAAATGCTATGAACGCTGTCGCATTAATTACTTTATTTCCGTGATTGACAGAACCTGTGAAATCTGTGGATCAATTGCACGCAATGTAACTGGAGCTTTTGAAGTTGAAACAATTGAACAGTGGAGCGAGTCAAATGATGCCACCTTGGCAGCCCCAAGTGGAGCTGCGTCCCATGCTGATAATCGAAGTTTCTGGAGGGGCCACAGATTCTTGAATTTCCTACTAGCTTGCATGGTCTTTGCCTTTGTCATATCTTGGCTTTTCCACTTCAATGTACCTTCTTAAGATCCTGCAACTTCTGGATGAAGCAGATAAGTTTAAGGCTTTGAGGGTTGACAGACCAGGATATGACCCTTAGGCCTTAACACAGGTATCATTCTCATTATCTGTGACTCATCCATACTTGATTGGAGCTATCTGTTATATATACGTGATGTGCATATCAGACCCCGCACGACTGATTGTTGTTTAATTTTTTACGTACTGTTGTTAATCCTATTTTTGGACAATCTACAAGAGTACCTTGTACGGTTCCAATCTATGTTTCCCTGCTTGAATGGCTGAATCTATATAACGTTGTAATCTTCTCGTTTTGCGTTCTGATACGCTCACCATGTAGAAATTGCGTTCAATGGCCAAGATGGAACGTGCGAGATAAAAGATGTTTTTGGGCAAGACTGTAGTCAGTATGTGTATAAATGAGTTAAATGAATCATACTAGTTTTTGTTACTGGCATCAAGAGGTCGAAAAGTGAATTTTCTTAGTTCTTAGCACACATTTTGGATTGAGTTTTTCTTTTTAAATGAATAAGTTTGAGCGAACTATATTATCATTATGCCCTTCAATCTCAGTGCAGCCTGAACTCTAGTACCTGAAACTATGAAAATACGAATTAATGTTGTAAAAAATGACAAAGTTCTTTGCGGCATTCTTAAGTGACATATTTGTATATGTTAATTTTAAGAATTGATTTCTACACGATTATTTCCTGAAATTAATTTATTCAATGATACTGGACACATTTATAGGTTCGTTTCCAGGCTTCGATTGCAGGGTTTGTAAGTACGCCACCTCTCAAGGTGGAGGGCATCTTTGCTCCAAGTGAATGTCATGTTGCTTAATGTAATGATAGAATACACTCGAACTCAGTACAGATGAGTCCCAACTTTGGACTATGATCAAACTTGTGAAATATGGAGGCTGAATTTATGATTGGCCGAAACGTTCAAAAAATTAAATCACAATTAACTGCTAGTAGAAAGACGGCTTATTAATAGTAGAGAAATAAGAGCTAACAAATATGGCCTGAGAGAAAACCATGTTAGTCTCTTCTGTTGTCACCTGCAAGCTGTAGGGCAATGAACAGAACAGAGCATGGAATTGGAAGTGGTTGGGTGCATATGTCATCCGACAAATCAGCACTCTGCAGATCCAAAGGGCAAGAGGTGGTTGATTCCAGCTTGGATTTTTCTCTCACTAGGTGATTATCAACATCAAATTTGCTCGGATGGGGAAATGAGTTGTCTGCAACCTGTGAGGGAAGAAAAACAAGAGATAACTGGTCAGAAAAAGAAGCAAGAGACAAGATTAGGAACTGCCTGTTTTTTTTCTTGGGGGGGGGGTGTAAATACATGTATCTTTCAATTGGAGGCAATCATGTTCGAAGTATTATCAAACACTAAACACGAACATTTTTTCCAATGAAGATTCAAACATTAGTTTGCGATATTAGGAAGGACTAGTCTTTTTTATTAGATTCAATCATATTAATAGAACTGGCTGTGTTGTCGGATGCCAAGCCCGATGAGCCTCGTGGTTGTTAAGTAAAAGTTTGATGGCCTTGGTGTGTAGGTGACCCATGCAAAGTTTCTGACTGAGGATCCGGAATTTTTGGCATGTAACGCACAAAAAGGCCACCCATATTATCCTTCGAACCAAAGTCTTGTATTGACAATCGCTGGGCTTCCTTTTTTTTTTATACAAAAAAATAAAAGTGAGTTGGGTCTCAAAAGCTCACCAGGGCTAGAACATGCCTCCAGGCTCAGAGAGCGCTTATAGAGGTATTTATAAATCGCCCACCAACAAGATCCTCATATAAGCAGCAGGATTTGAACTCACGACTTTATGAATTATGAGCTGATTTCTTATTAGCTGGGCTTCCCTTGATTGTAATAGAAAATGATGTTCGGTATGCATATGAAAAGGGATAAAATACTTTAGCTTGTGGTGTTTGATAAAATGAATAAATGAAGAGGAGAAATGAATGCAACTTAAATTGAAAAAGGCTAAAGACTGAATTATCTTGTCATTTGTATTAGGAAGAGATCAGTTGGAGTATTCAAAATAAGCCTGTCCCGACTGGCCTATTCGGATCTCGACTATATTAGAACATGACGAGACAAATAAGGATAGGACATAGGACGGGTTCGTCTCATCCCAATCATCCCAGTAGTAATATTTTTTTTTTTATCATGTTATGATTATTAAACGCTAAAAATACAAAATGTTTAAAACATATGTAATACAAAATGTTTATATTTATAGCTTTCAACATATGTGTAGTTGAATGGTTATTATTTATCTAGAGTTTTTATAATTGCTTTGATTTTTAGAGTGGTGAAAATAAATTTTAGAGTTATTATGTTACTAGTTACTCCCTTCGTCTCTTTTTATAAGCAACAACTATCATTCCCTTCTTATCCCTAAATATAAGTAGCATTTGCAAGTTATGTTAAATTTTTGTAGCGAATTTCCTATTTTGTTCCCATTAATTACTTATTTCAATATTTAATATATTTATTGTCTTATTTTTCAAACCATCATCTCTCTTCATCACACAGTTTCTCTCTTTCATAATTCACTTTATTATAATAATTTTCTTATTATCTTTCTTATACTCTCTCTCCCATAAATAAGAGTATTTTGGAGAAAGATTTTTAATTTTTACTTATTTATTATTTCTAACTAACTTTTTGATTTACATAATGGAGTCCTATGTTGCTTATAATAAGAAACGAGGGGAGTATTATTTATTTGGACTATTGTTTAAGAGGACTAAGTCTAAAAAAAGTAAAAAATTTCTTTCAAAAGGATTAAGCCCAACGAACTAAAGATAGCCAAAAAAAAAAAATCAAAACCTATTGCAATAGGTCTAACCATAAGGCAAAAAATGTTTTACAAAAAAACAAGGAACGTCCTGGTCTCGTATCGTTTTGACTAGGATTAGGATAACATTGGGATGAAATAGGACAAGGATAGATTTCCCATGTTGTCCTTGTTCATCGGGCAAGACTGGTCTAGTCCCATCTTGTCCCTTGAACAGCTCGAATGATTAGTTGAGTTTGATTTTATAAGATACAGTAACTTTTCACTAAGATGTTACCTATTCAACTATCTTTGATTTATTTGTCACCTATAAATTTGTAACCTTATCCTTCTCTTCTTCTTTGGTTAAAAGCAGGAGTCCTCACACCATCTCATCTCCTTCTCCGCCTACACAGTACCCACACAATCTCAATATCCTTTTATGGTGTTTACTTAAATTACAAAGATCTTCTTTTTATTTTGAAAACCTATATACACCTCTTTTAAAATCAAAATACATGTTTGTTAAACCTATACACAGTACCCACACAATCTCAATATCCTTTTATGGCGTTTACTTAAATTACAAAAATCTTCTTTTTATTTTGAAAACTTATATGTACCTCCCTTAAAATCAAAATACATGTTTGTTAAACCTGTACTATTGCAATCTCAGTATCCTTTTATGGTGTTTACTTAAATTACAAAGATCTTTTTATTTTGAAAACCTATATGTGCCTTCCTTACAATCAAAATACATGCTTGTTAAACCTCCATCCTAGTTTTGATATTCAACTTTTATTTACTCAATCACTAGTTGACCGTTAAATCATAAAGTTAACATGTTACTTTGATCAAAATGCACCTCTTAACACAATATTTCATAATAATCATCATTTAATCACATATGGCATATCTTTATTTGAAATTGAAAATTAATTTTAACGTATATTTTAATATTTTAATACTATTAAATCACTTACCATATTAAAATTTAATTAATTGTATAAATACACATTTTTTTACAAAAAAAATTAAACGTTTAATTTGCTTATTTATTAAAATTTATTTGTGATGTAATCTTTTAAATATATATTAGTTGAAAATGCTTTGGGACCATATGTATTTTTAGTGAAGTTATAAAGTTATATCTTAATTTAATAGATTTAGTAAAAATATTAAATAGACCATTAATAAATATTAATGTTAAAAAATAAATTAGAGATTTAATATAATGAGAGGTAAAGTAGTAAATAAGGTTAATTCTAATATATTTTTTAATTAAAAATATATTTAAGGAATCTTTTCAGAATATTTTTTAACTGTGTTAATAGTCTATACTAAAACGTATGTTTTCAAAATAAAAGGAAGACCTGTGTAATTAAGACGAAATAGAAGGATGATCAGAATATTTTACTCTAATATAAAAGTTATTTAAATAATTTAGATAGATTAAGAATGTCAAATAAATTAGTGAACTATAATAAATGAGATATATACTAATTTATAAGTTATATTAATTGTTTGGGGAAAATGATGAATATGATAGAAGAAAAAGGATTAACATTTTATATTTAGAAGCAAATCAAACCCCAAATTAATTCTTGCATTAAAATAGGAAGGAGTATTAGTTATTTCTCTCCTTTCAGCAACGATCCAAAAAAGGACCATGTCACTAGCCATCCTAAGCGGCTAAACGTTAAGAGCTAATCGGTCCTGAGCCCTGTCCGTCATTTTGATCTTCGCATAGTATTTTTGTCGTTTATAATTGAGGGAGCATGATGCTGGCATACTTTTTGTTATCGTAACGCAAAATGCTCTTTTGTCATTTTAAGAGAAATAGAAGTTAGGGATTATTAAAAAAGAAAAAACAAAACAAAATAGTTTGGGAATCCAATTTAAAATTAAGGTGAATTATGGATATGAATGATGACATACAGGCGCCGCGAGATTCCTTGTTAATTAAAAGGAAAAAAACTCCCACGAAAATGATTTATCATTTATCATTTTATCTTATAAAGGAAGTTCCATACAATGCATAATAAAGGACAAAATTATGATTGAATGCCCACGTGATTGGTCCCTAAACCCTCATCATTCCCCCACAAACAACTTACATTCATTCATATGGTGATATTAAAACAAATATTATAAATACTTTTTATGAAGATGAACATGAAAAACAAAATATACTTGTCTTACTCACAAGATTAGAATTCCCAAATTTTATGTAATCAAATATCAATTCCTTAATAATTTTGTTTGTCCATGAGGTTAGAATCAGGAACCTCACATATATATGGATTAACGTTAAATTTTGTGTGTTTGTTGCATGATGAGCAAACAGAAGAAGACAGAAGGCTGCTTTGGAACATGGGATGAGGATGCCATCAGAATCCTGTGATTAATTGACTAATATATAATGATAAAAAAAAATATTAAAAAGCCGGAAGCAGAAGGCAGTTTAGTTTTAGTTAGAGGGTCAGGGCAGGGCAGGGCAGGGCAGGCGTTGCTGCGCTAACTCGCCGCCATTAGCGCTGCTTACTCTGAATTAATGACGTGCATTCTAATCTTCTTGCTTCACGTGGCTCGCACGTGCGACCGTCGCCTTCTGAATCACTTCATGTACATTCCTCCTCCTCCCTCATCCATTTC